TATATATATATAGAGAGAGAGAGAGAGAGAGAGAGAGAGAGAGAGAGAGAGAGAGAGAGAGAGAGAGAGAGAGAGAGAGATCAGGGAGAAATAGGTTCACCAGTGAGAGGCCTGGGAATGAAAGTGGATCTTGGGATTTTTTGTGAAAAAACACGGAATCTTGGGATTTTTTGAGCTTTCATTGGGATTTTTACAAAGTTGGACCTGGGAACGCTGTATGCATTTTATAAACACGAGGTCAGGAGCGAAGCAAAGTGATACTTTGTATAAATACTGGCCTTATATTCAAGTTTTGTGAGAAAGGGAGATCGTTTAGAGGTTTTCCAAAAAATATCGAATACTATCGCCGTTTTGGGTTGTCGTTTCAAAGTAAGTTATCCTGACTTATTATATGTTGTATTGCTGTAGGTTATCGACTGTACACTCTGCAGTGACGGTGTTTTTGATATTTTGACAAATTAGACCATTTTTATCTCCTATAGGTGTATTTTTGGCGTGTGTTCATGGGGATCTTTTGGTCAAATCAAATGAAAAGGGGCCGCTCATATTATGTTTTTCAAAGAAGCAGTGAATTGCGAACTTGCTGTACCTGTACCAAACTTGCTAGCGATGTGTGAACTCGCTATATTTTATACTATATAGTTTATACTAGCAAAGTGTGATCTCGTTAGCTGGGCAATCGTTGGCAATAATAAAGTTGTATACTGATTGTGTCAAAAGATCAAGCCAACAAGGTATTGTAGCTATATCAAATTTTACAAATATATAGGTTGTATGTCAATTAGAAAATCGCCAATAAAATAGTTATATATATATATATATACAGTAAAATGATTATTACTAGTATTAATATTGTTATTATGGGAATATGATATGCAGTAAATTAAAGCCCTGCATAAAAGAACCAGTGAATTTTGACTTCAGGCTGAAGTGGTTCTTATATAATCTTATGCGCGAATCAAATCGAAACCTTGACATCCCCCCCGGGCATACCCCCGGGAATTTGGATTTTGACGTTTTGGTCAGGTCAAATTCCCTACATATATTTGTAATTCCCGTTCAAATACACCACGTATTGGGAAAAATTGGAGTTCAAATACCCCACCCCATGTACGAATTGGAAGCTACAGCATTTCGCAATTTTGGAATTTCAAAGTTTTTCTTTCCTTCAAAAACTCTCTTCAATCGTTTAAAGCTGTTTTCTTGTAGCCAACCAAGGACAAAGTTAATTCCTTTGCACTTGAAGACCTTGAACTCATCCATTAATTATTGACGCCATTTTGGATTCTGCACACGTGTTTTAAAAGAAAAATTCAAATTCCCGACCCAGGTTCAAATTCCCCACCTTCCACTAGAAAAAAGGTCAAATTCCCGCTTTCTTAAAATACTAAACAAGCAAATTCCCCAGGTATGCCCGAGGGGGGGATGTCAAGGTTTCGATTTGATTCGCGCATTACTTCACACTATACTTTTTTATATTCTAAACATTAAATAGGGACTGTTGTTGCACAAAACTATTGCTATGACACTAATATGGTTTTTGTTACATATATTAAAACTTGTTAATATTGCCCAAATTCCAGGCTAGTGGTTCTTAACCTACTGGTTCTTTTATGTGGGGCTTCACTGTATATTCTTGTTGCATATGTTAAAACTTGTTATTGCCCAAATTTCAGGCTAGTGGTTCTTAACCTACTGGTTCTTTTATGTGGGGCTTCACTGTATATCAATAGACCTTATGCATAATGACGTCTCAAGGCTTGATGCCTGCGAAGAATGCTGGTCTTAGTAGTCATCACGGTCCAGGAAAATTTAGATAGTGGCCATTTTGAATTGTTTAATTTTCCTGGGCAATGACTACTAAGATCAACATTCCTCTCAGGCATGAAGTCTTGTGACATCATCATGCATAAGGTCAAATGAGCAGTATGATGTCCGAATTGGAACACACAATTGTATACGAATGAAAAATTATCTTACTTTTTTCCATAATGCTCACAATTTCTTTCTTATTATATAGTTTTGCAGT